TGTTATATGCCCATTGATTCTAGTCGGATTTATCATCGATCTTCCTGGTCGATAAAAGTAAAAAATCGATCTATTTCAGGAATTCTTGACAGTATTATTTATTCAACTCTTGATGAATTTGTGTCTTACGTTTTGAACACATTGTGTAAATTACCGGATTCTACGCCGTACCTAGTTTTGGTGTGCTGAATTGAACTTAATCAAATAGTATATTGCTAAAGAATGGTTGTTCTTGGAGCACTCAGTTCACTCGAATCCGTCTCTGTCTCCTCTTCTTCCGTCTTCGATCCTGCCATCCAGCAATAAGTGCAGACTGAACAGGACGGCAGAGAGAGCGTAGCAGGATGGCAGCTTCCCTTGCGCCTCTCTGACATTTAATCTAGAAAATTGCCCGCTGCCGCCCATTTATTTCCATTACTGTCAACTCTTTAGTTGCTGCCTACGTTACGTTCTACTATGGAGGACGAGGAACTCTTTTCCAGGCCGACAGAAATCCGATGTCACATTACGGAATAAGGAGTTTTTCCATTGTGTGTTTGATATGTTTCGATATTTGTTGTTTTATTGAAATTATTGGACAAAAACCAGAATCGAAAATAATTTTTTCTTCACTCGTAGATGAAAAGGCAGTTTTTCTTGATGGAGAGGTCACAACAGAAATATTGCTTTCGTCCATATGGAAATCTGTTCAGAATATTTGAATTCACACAAAATATTATTTTTTTCCCAATTACTAATTGAATAACAAAAGATCCATAGCGAATAATCAAATGCAAAAAGTCGTAGCAAATCCCGAATGATTTCATATTATACAGCAGACTTGATTCCCACACAGTTGGATTTAGTTGAAATGAAAGAAAACACTTTAAATTTTAATTAGGTCATGAAATATTGTGATGACTTATTGAAACAATTCTTATCCGATGAATGAAAATTTCGATAAGATCGATATGAGAAAGAATACAGTACAGGAACAGTTGGGAAACATATTGATTTGCTAAGGAAGTAGATGGCCAGGATTCGATGATGAGTTGACTCAAACCATAATTTTAGAAAACGATAAAATCGACGGTGAGTCTAGAATCCATTTGAGAAGTTTATTTGCCGTTAATAGCACTTTATTTCGAAATTGAAGAATACTTCCCTGCTGAACCCATAAAAAAATGATCCCTGTACCAAAACTTCAATACTAATTATTGTTACACAGCTCCCTCTGTCTTTCTTCCTTTTTAGTCTACGAAAGGTTAGGCTAAAAAGGTCGTACTTCTTATCAGAAGAAAAAACCTTATATGGCGTAAGGACATTTTTGGTTCAATACTAATTCGTTTGTGTGGGCAAAAGATAGGGTTCTACCTAGTTCTACAAACCTGTGGTAGAGGTCCATTATATCTAAAAATGGGGTGCAGTAGATTTGCAAAGCATAAACACTCAAAGTCGTCTCCAAAATTTATTATCATCCTCAGATATAAGAACGGTAAAACCATCAATCAGTACATGTTCCAAATCTATATAGGTTCATCATCAGCTAATTATTCAAAAATTCTACAATAAAAGAAGAACAACATAACAATAGTTAATACAATGAAGTATACAATACTTACATGGAGAAGAACATATTTCATTTCTCCATTATATGAAACATTTTCTTCTCCCTGTAGGTATTTTATACTTCATTGTATCAACTATTGTTGTGTTGTTCTTCTTTTATTGGAGAATTTTTAAATAAGTAGCTGATGATGAACCTATGTAGGTTCGAAAAAATGTACTGATTGATGATTTTACCGTTCTTACATCTGAGGGTAATGATAAGTTGTGAAAATGACTTTGAGTTTTTATGCTTCGCAAACAGTTCTACAAAGTTTGCTTTATTTATGAAATGACCCCCACATAAAAAATCATTTGTTTCATTTTCAATTTATTATTAATAGATTGCTATGTTAAGTGCACTACACTTATAAGGCACAGAAAACTTCTTCTTAATGTTTTAAATTTCAAATGTAGATATATTACTGATCATTACTCAACCCGTGTTAAGAATCACACGTTAAAAGGTAATACCTCGTTAGTCCTTAGCTCGCACAAGTTTCTCAACTTCTGAGAGTTGCTGATTTTAAAACAGATTACTTATTCTGTTTTACTTAGGGGAAACAGATATTAAACAATAAAAATTGATGATGAATTCAAAACAGTGAGTACACCTTCACAAAGTTTCACAAGGAATTCAAAATGTTGGGTTTTTCCCCAATTCTCTCAATGAATGTATATTTCCATCAAATCACGTTTACCATCCACTTTTCATTCGAAAATAGCAAAATTGTCCGATATAAGGAGAGCCAATATGACAAAATCTCAATTCATAAGCGAAAAAAAGTTGTTTATATTCGGAAAAAGTAACCCATTACAAAGCTCAATTGAAAAATTCAGGTTATTCCGATCAAGTGTGAAACAAAAGGCAAACTTATGTAAGGTGACTTTTTTTTCCAGTTCATATAAAACATAAAATTGATAATGGTTTATCGCAGACGAAACGTTGCTTTAAAAATCTGTGAGCGCCCTCTGTTAAAGCTTGAGAAGAGGCAACAAGAAAGTTGTTTTTGTTTATCTTTATCTTCCTGAAACTTTCCCAATATTATAATCTCATTTGAATCAACTGAACCAACTTTATATCTCTTGAAGTTTCCGATTTTGCCATGCTGGCTTTCTTTGTCTTGAACAGACCTTTATTTTTTGAACGAGTCAACTCAAAAAATTGAAAATTTGAGATAATGAAATTAATGCATGAATAATTTATTTTGAAGTGAAACTGACAGATGAAACATTCAAGATGGCGACTGGGCCATGATACATCATTTTGAAGCTCCTGACGATTACTTCACAACTCTAGAATATCTTCACCTACTACAAAATGGCGGAACATTTAATAATTTCATGAAGACAAACACATTCATTTCATGAAGACAGAGATTTCAAAAAAAATGCAAGTGACTTCGATTTCTTCTTTTATACTTTCCATTATTTTGTAGTTATTGTCCATTAAAATCTATCAAATCGTGTACTTTCTACATATATGATCTAATTTTCAACTGAGAAATAACAATGAAAGTAAAATATATGAACCTTATATCAGCTCCACCACTTTTCTATGGAAAGAACTGAAGAAATGAAAAACAAGGAGAAAAACAATATAAGTACAATAGCTGAATATACGACAAATCTATATCTATAAAACTAGTGACTGTTGACTTTGGAACAGGTTTCAGAACATGAGGAAGAATCGCTTGTAATACTTGTTTTTTTTTCACGAATATTGTTGACATTTCTGAAATAAGATTCTCACTGCCTACTCACCTTTGTGATCCGTCATTTATTTTTCTCTCTTTTTATTTCACATCAAACTTACAGCTGAATTTGTCACTACATATAAATTTCTTTCATTTGTATATCTTATGGAACATGTTTCCATCTTCTACTATAAAAATTTTCACAGTTATTTCTTTATCAGAAAATTGACCAATTCAGATTATGAACACTTTTGATATCTGTTTAAAATCTGTTTTTCCATTAATCAGCTGTCGCCCCCATACGAACGACAACTCTCAGATTTCTAACATGGTTGCAGAATCATATCAGCTTCAACCAGATAAATTCTTTCGAGGAAAATATCTGGTCGAGACGGGAATCGAACCCACGGCCTTCCGATCGTGAGTCGGGCGCACTACCACCGCGGCCAATTCCACAATGGAATAGATTCATTCATTCGGGAGTTTTTCTTTCAGATTGTAAATATAGATTTCCATGAATTATTTTGTAACGTAATGAGAAAGAAAATCATTCTCTCTGAGGGGTTTATGATTATTCGCAACACTTAAGTTGGCACTAATTATTTGGAATATGAAATAACGAACTATATTCGAAGCATCTAAAGATAATTTATTTTTCATTTATGCATTAAAAATCACTGTATTCATCTTTATAATAATAATAATAATAATAAATGAGAAACAAATATTTTTTTGTTTTTTACCACTTGTATTTGTAACAAACGTCACTGCAGTCCTAAGTATAAGTACATTTTCAAAAGAATACAATAAACTCTACCATCTTCAGACTTAATTGTATTCGTTTGAAAATTTCCTTATTATTCTCCTAAACTGCATTAACGTTCGTTACAAATACAAGTGGAAAAAAAACAGAAAGTTTTATTTCTTCCATCTTCAGATTTATTGTATTCCTTTATAAAAATGTCCTCATAGGACGAAACTGCAGTAACGTTAGGTAAAGATCCAAGTGGTACAGAAACATAATAGTTATTTATGTATCAAGGGCGGAAAATAGGCTTTCATGAAACGCAGCGTGTTGGTAATAAGTATTATGACCTACACGCCTAGGTTCACAAAAGCAAATCACGCGCGAAATACATACAACATTTAATGCACGACCGGTATATTTGATGTCATATAAATAGATACCTCTTTATATCCGCCCTACGGGCGCTAAAGTGCTACTTTACGCCCGCTAATCCGGGTGATAATGTGCTACTTTATGGCCGGTCGTGCATAAAAAGTTTTCCGTCTGATTTTTGATAAATTTAAAACCATTAAGGAGTTTTCAAAATTAAACCTCATATTTATTTTTCATCATATGGTTCATCTACATGAACCAAAGTGTTTGATCTTCATCAATTCTATTCATAAATTGAAAGTATGCATCTCTCTGCAATTCGTTACCAAGAACAAAAATATTCCACAATGGAATTTAGAGAACATGTACATGTTCATCAAACAAGACAGTTCAATAATATATTAACAAAATATCTCCAATCAGCATTCCAAATAATTCATTTTTTACGAAAAATTGATTATATACAATGAATAACTGATGGCATTTAACAATTTTCCAAGACATACACATTCCCTGTAAAAACTATTGTGATTTTTCGAGAACAAATAAATGTTCATTATTTGAATATGATCATCAATAACCCTCTGCTTCTTTTTCAGGTAAGCACTCGGATGAACTTCTTTCCAACAACAACAAATGGTCCTCAATGAGTCCACAGTCCTGCAACACCGCCCTCCTGGTACATCAAGCGAATAAAGTTTTGTCCTCCCAACCAAGTCATCTTCAGTCACATCACGGATCGCACGCTGCCGCTGCAGCAGCAGCTGCGTTGTCTTCACCTTTCACCTCTCTTCTGGGTGCTACGGGAAGTGCTGCATCGTATCTACTGGGTGATCACTTGAAACCGACCGCAACAAATCATTTATTCTAAGAAACAGAGTTATGTGTTCAACAATTTGTGACTTGTAAATGGGAAAATCCGTCTCGTGTACTTGAAAATATCCCCGAATTATACGATTGGTATACGGAATCCGACTAGAATATATTTTGTTCAGTTGATGAGTTGGATATTATTGGATTGGTGTATTTTTTTGAATGAATAATGGCCTGTTCGTGGTTACTGTATCTGCATAGTTCTTTGGAAATTGATGAAGAGAGAGCTGAAGCATTGAGATATTTCAAGACTCGTATTCCTATACAAAAAAGTGCTATTGGAAAAAAAGCTGTTGTGACAGTGATATCAATTATTTGAAAATACTATACATTATACAGTACATTAAACAACAACAAGACACCAAATACATGTTTTTTCCAAATATAACAGTCATTATTATATCATTTTGGAAATTTTCTCTTGATAACTTTTTAAAGAATGTAAGGATTCGAAATTTCTAGCAGCTTATGGTAATGTTTGGTTTGGTTTCACGGCTTGAACGGGGCTAAATACAAGAAAAATGAACGTTTAGACTATGAATGTATGTAAATGTTAACACCTCTATCACTCTGAATTTAAATCACCATCATTTTCCATAAGGAGTAAGTCCAAACTCATGATTTATTAAATATTTTTATCCAAATGGTCCTCTCTGTTGATTAAATTATTATTTTTGAGAACTCCTCAGTATAACTTTTTATGAAATCCATGGGTCCAGAATAAGAGAAAGATTAGACAATTGAAACCTTCATTCCTTCTTACACATTGTCATGAATTAACAGCTTGTTATCAAGTTTGTGCCAAATTTCAAGACGTACATAAATAAACTTTTCTGAAATACTTTTTTGATCTCATGAGAACCTTTGACGTGAAATGAACATGAAGAAAGCACTTTCCTCACACCAGAACGAAACACTGTCTCTCAATTGAGCTTCGAAAGACACTGTTTTTTCCTGGCGTGGAAAAATTTTTCACTTTCTGATCATAAATTTTTTTCTATTGAAAATATCCATTATTTCCTTCATTTCAGTGAAAGTTACTTCTTAATGATTATTATTGATACTTCACCAGAAAGAAATCATTGCAAATGTACTTTGAACATCAACTTATAGATCAATTTCATAAAACATTAATCTCACTTATATCATATAGTTCACAAAATAGTTGAAATTCAATATAGAAATGAAATTTGCAGAGGCTTCTTCAATTGGAATAACTTCCTAAGTATTTTTTGTGCTTTAACAGACCAAAATCAATTTTACATATACGACGTAGGTATATTAAGACTAAAACTGAGTACCTAGTTTTGTATAACTATACAGTGTAGGTGAGGCGAACATATATGAAAGTCACAATTAGTTTTACTGAACGAACGGAATTGTCTGATGAAACTCCAAATCGAAACTTTCTAATAAAATCCATTCAAATAACAAGTTATTGTGAGGTTTTACTGTACAGTTTACAAAACTATAACACGTGTTTCGCTACACAGTAGATTCCCCAAGCAACTATCTTTTAGACTCAAACATTTTATATTCTGGAAAAATTACTATGACCGATCAGATAAATAATTCTAATCAAGATTCATAGTATATACAAAGTCATTTCGAATGGCTTAAAGTCCGAATGGTTGCCGAACGCCGGCAGTTTCTTTGTATGGCATGGGCGGCGTGGTTTAATATGATAACATGTTGTAAAAGGTTTTGGGTTTCTACTTCTCCATCTTGATTCAAAAAATGTGGGAATCTTCCAAAGAAAGAAAGGAAGAAATCGATTTCAGAAATTAACTCTAAATAAAGATGTGTAGATCATGCAAAGAAGTAACTTTTAGGCACAAACTGGAAAAAAAACCTCCTTTCGAAACAGCTATTTTCATATAAACATTGACTTACATGAAATAAAAATACTGCCGAAACAAATACTTTTATGTGAACGATGAATTCTACGAAAAACCTTCTTTTTATTCCGTTTGTATTCCAAACATTCATAATGGAATTAAATCAAATATCATTCATAGGGTTGATGATGATCTACAAATTTCAATTACACAATTTCCAGAGTTATCTTTTTTTAAGAAGTTTCCAATTAATTATTTTGATAAAAAATGAAATAAGAGAAGATCTGACAGATTTATCAAAAGCTGAGATAAATATGAGTGATTGAGATGATTTTGTTTTGATTAGCTTTCATATAACAACTAACCAAATTCAAAATACTATATTGTTATAAAATTAGCTCAAGGCCCTTTTTTGAGATATGAACGAACGCTTCAGATATCCGAAAAAATATTTCAAAAAAATATTCATCAACGTTTCTGTTACCTGATACAGTCACCGCAAGGTTTTCTAATGAATTTGTGAATCCGACCGAATGTGTATTGTATTTTGTAAATATTAGAAAAAATTGTATACTTGCCATATTTCGTCATTAAATTAAAAATTACTGATTGAAATTTGTAATTTGTAAATTTGTATATAACCTGTGTATTTTTTGACTGTCCGATTACATGTCTGAAAAATCCAAACATTTGTTTTTGAATTTCAGATTAAACCTTCTAGTCCATTAATGTATTACTTTGTGTAAAAATCTAAATATAAATATTATCGAAACTTGGGTATTTATTTATGAGAGTGTATACATATTCTTTATTTTTTTTAGATTCGAGAGGTAAGACAAAGAATAAAGGAAAATATGAAAGTGAAAATCATTTCTTTCTGTTTTTTACACGGTTTTCGAAATAAATAATCTTATTTATCTTATTATTCGAACGGAAATGAACAACGTAACAAAAGTTAAATAACGAAAATAATTTATTATTTGTGATTTTGAAGCAATATTAGTTGAACAAAATAATATCCATTGAAAATCTTTACTGAAACGATATTTTGAAATGAAAAAACTAAGTAAGTAGAGATTTTTGTATATGAAATTCTCATAAAATCTCATGAAAATAAAAATAAAAAAGCGATCCAGAGAAATAACATGAGCAAGTGGTTTCATGAACAAAATTAATTTATTTGACAGATATAATACTCATATAAATATTTTGATATGCTACACCAATGTGAATATTCGAAATTGCCAACATTGATTTGAATGTATGTGAAACTATATCCCATATAGACCGATGTGAGTAATTTTTAAAGAGAAAAAATCAATAAAAATATGAAAATAGTTATGAAGAAAGGAAACTAGTTTGTTCACTGCGTGGGATGAAATGAGGTGAATTTTCAAGGTGGAAAATGGTTTTTTATGATTTCTTCCGAAATTAAACTCTCCATTGAATAAAGGTTCATATCAAAGTTTGAGGAAATATGAAAGTCTACTACCTTTGTATGGACCATTTTATTACATAAACAAAAATATTCCAAAGGAAATTAAAAAAAAAAGAATTTTTTGGTTTTGATTTCTTTATACTACAAAAAAAATGTGTTTTTCACTATATTTATTGCAAATTCACCTTGGTGAAAATATGCAGTACAACATTGAAACTTTTTTTATATGAAACCCCATTTCCAGCCTGAAATACGATGGTTCTGATAATATCTTTTTTCGAAATCAACAGTAGTATTTTTTGTTGGAATACGTACATTCAATGGTGTGGATGAGAAGTGGTATTTCTGTGGAAATATTTTTATGAAAAAGCAAAGAACTAAATCATAAAATTTTTTATACAAAAATTTTCAGTTGAATTCCTTGAAAAATGTAGAATGCAATATAATATATTCCCAAATGAAGTAATTGCATATATTTGCAGAATGACGTTTTGAAAAGAACCTGCTTATTACATATTAGCTTACAAATATTTTCAGTTGCAAAAAAAGTATTACTGTCTATCTGTACCGCTTACTTTATTTAAAAAAAATCTTAATGTTTCAAAAACGCTGAAAAAATGAATAATAATTTTTCTTCCTAAATGAGAAATTAATAATAATGATGACTGTTATTATTATTACAAAGAATAGAAAATATTATGACCCTATCAGGAAAATTTTAATTGAATTAATAGCCTATCCAAGTTCAAAGGAAGAAATGGTGGAAACTTTTAGGGGAGGAAAATTTTTTTTCATGATCACTAGTGAACGTAGACCTCTTTAAGTTGTAGGTTTTGAAATAATCTACAATTTCAGGAGATTATTTTGCACAAAATTTAATTTTGAATAATTTTTTCTTTTCAATTAGGCACTGCAAAATTTGACGAAAATTTACCTTCATTTAAAAGACCATATTTTTCATTTGTGATAATGAGGATTTCATATTGATGGCGAACCTAAAAAATACCCATCAAAATATCAATGTTTTCAGTTCTTAGTTCACTCGAGAATAAATCAAAAGCGGTCGTAAATCTCAGTAAAAATTAGATAAAAGTTATTTTTTTCTTCTATCTTATATTCAATATTAATCTCTACAAAATCATCAGATCACCAATTGATCAAAATCAATGTTCTGGGAAACATTTTTTTTCAAATCATGAGTGATCTTTTTTTATTGAAATATTTATATTACTCTTACTGGTTTTTTTAGTAAATTACCTTTTGCAACCTGAAAAATAAACAAAGCTATTCACAAATTGAGACGAAAGTTTCAAAGTGAATTTCAGGTTTTGAAAACGAAAGCTGAGTAAAACTTTTCGGGGTCAACTTTTCAGTTTGTCTTTATTACATCTCAGCAAATTCTCTGTCGATTCAACTTTATTCATTTTTCAGATTGTGGTAGGTCATATACCCAAAAAACTGGTAGGAAGTAGTCTAGAAAAAAATTAAATTTAATTATTAATAAAAATTTCATCATTGTAATAAAAAAGTATAATTTTGTAGTTGAAAGTGTTTTGTAGAGTTTTTCAATAAATGAAAGAGAGAAGGAATGAAGAGAAACTTTAAAACAATTCAAACATTTCAATTTAATAGTGAACAATATACCCCTTGATTTATTCCATTTTGACACCTTGAATATCTTGAAAATTTTTAGAGGTCTCACTGATTTTTTGACAATTATTAGACATGAAAACTCACTTTTGAGTATAAAATAATCCGTGAAACTAATAACCACAAATGAAAAACGCAACACAAAATTAATGTGAGTCGTCAGCTTCAATTTTTTCCAAAACTCGTTGAACAAATTTCGAACATCACATCTTAGAACACTCTGTAAAACTGCATTATCGCAGTGGTACAATAATAATGGAAACTGAATAATTTTCTAAATTTAGTTGGATTATCCGAATGCTACGTTCTGAGATGACGTATCGAGATAGTGGGATGTACTGGAAAAAAAGACGCCTGGTATTTTCATATATAAACGTCGGGACGCCAATCGGCCTCAGTTCTTTGTAGGTGTTGAAATTTCATACACCAGTGAGCCGAAAAATATACAAACATGTCATTGGAACGTCAAGTCCGCGCCAAGGTAGGATGATTTTACTGAGTAGCAATTAGTGAGAAAGTACAGTGTAGATTAAAAATAATTTTCAAACGTATTTCATAATTGGCATATCTATAATATATGTGGCATTATGTGAAAATATGTATGAAGTTAGGAACTTCGCAGGTGAGTGAGGAAGAATTTTGACTTTCTACTTGTCCATTTTTATACAAAAAAATGTGGAAATCTTCCAAAGAAAGGACGAAAACACTCGATTTCAATATAAACGCTATACAAAAATGTGTAGTTCATGCAAAGACGTAACTTTCAGACACAAACTGGAAAAAACAACTACTTTCAACTTCTCGAAACAACTACTTCCATATAAACATTGAATTACAGAAAAGAAAAAATACTTTCAAAACAACTACTTTCATATGAACATTGAATTATACAAAAAAAAACTTTCTCCTATTCAGTTTCTTCTCCAAACATTCGTTATGGAACTGTTCAGATATTCACAGGGTTGCCACACACTATAGTATATGAAAAAAAAATCTCACTTGAAGTGTTCCATATTTTCATCCCCAATAGCGGACATCGATGTTTCAGAATAAGACACTTGTCTTCTATTGAGGATGACAGTTTTCCATGTAAATTTTACCTCCTGTGAATGATATCTGATTCAATTCCATAATGACATATGCAATAAGGCATAAGGCTCTCGTCCTTTCTTTGGAAGATTTTCACATTTTGTTTTGTAAAAAGATAGAGAAGTAGAAAATCAAAACCTTTCTTACCAAAAAAATTGATTTCGTTCCAAAAATATACCCCTATAAATTAAATAATAATTTTTAATAGAATACAGATATTTTGAAAAAAAAACTTTGAAAAATTTGACATAACGTCATAATATTCTCAATTGCATACTCATATAGATAGAATGCATGCCATTATGTTAAGATTATTCATCTTCAAATTCGTGTTTTGAAATTACATTTACTGAAAATTCCCCTTTCAATCGAACTTCTTAAGAATCACTGAACTTTCAATTTATTGGGCGTTCAATTCCACAGCAAATATTTTATTAACTGATTTATATTTTCTGAATTTTTGAATAATGCGAAAAAAAAACTTGGACCAAAACATCGATGAATTCCAAACAATAATGAAAAGCTAATATATATAGTTAAAATAATCCAATATATTTTTTGATATTGAAAAGAAAAATTGTTAAAATGGATTCTTCCACTGAAAATTATTTTATATCCAGTGATAATCGGATAAATTAACAGTAACCATTTCTGAAATCATGCAAACTTCATACAATTTTTTAGGTGGAAACATATACCTGTTTCAACCATAAAAAAACTTTTTTAATAAAAATATTGTTAAAAAATATTTACCTGAATAAGACATTTAGTTTAAAAAGGAATACATTCCACGAAAGTTATCTGAGTTGAAAAAACAAACAAAAAATCTTGATTAGAGGTGTCATAATCTTGATGATCCTGATCCTGAATCTTATTTCGTGTTATCAATTTCTATTGACAAAAACCAAAAACCAGAAGATTTCGAATATTTTCATAACTGCATACCATGTGTGAAAGTGATTCTGAATTATATGATGAACTTCCAATTGATTTTTCTCAATTTTGAGTTGTTTTTTTTACGAAAGTTCGATTCCAAATTTTTTTGTGGCGAAATCGAATAAATACAATCAGAAATAAAATTAGAAATAATGTACTAGAACCTAAAAAGTTTTATCAGACAATTTGGCCACTACATGAATATATTTTCACGTTAAACACTCGTGTTCGAGAAATATCAAAGAGAGTTCCAAAAATGAACCCTTCTTCAAATATTTTATCATTATTTTTTTAGCTTGCATCCAAACGCGACCCACAACAAGACAAAGAAGCTCAAGAATGGATTGAAACAATCCTTGGCGCAAAATTCCCTCCAGGTGAATTATACGAAGATGTCATTCGTGATGGCACTGTTCTCTGTCAAGTTATCAACAAACTTGCCCCAGGATCAGTACCTAAAATCAACACATCTGGCGGACAGTTCAAGATGATGGAAAACATCAACAAGTAAGAGATTTTTTTTAACTAATTCATAAACTATCTATTGAAGAACCCACAACATATTCAATATAGCCCAGAGAATGGGGCTAGATTACACTTATAATCATTATTATCTCAAAGTGTTGGTATTTATTTGAAGGAACTAAACCTTCGATATTATCCAGAAATCCATTTTTGAACGATAAGTCATCTATGGGCTTCAGAACAAGTTGGTTTGACCTTGTCTTAGTCTTAGGAATAACAAACTTTTTTATTTCATCCATTTTTCTTCTACAATTTCTCTGATGGAAGTGATAATATTTCTGCCAACTAAAGATATACACTTCTTGACCAAAATTGTACTACAATGGTCCAGAAGTCCATAAGGTTTGGTAAAATCACATAACACAAGTGTTCTGACTTATATTATATACTTGTAATGCACATTGACCTTTGGTCACCAAGTGATTGCCGATGATCACTTGGTGATTGAAACTTGTGTCGAGGTGTTAAAAATAATGGTTTGGTGTTGGGAGGATAAAACCCCAGGAATATTCATATCGTATAATTCATTGAATCTTGATTACGATAAATTTTGAAGTACTTCACCTTTCACAAGCTGCTTTTACTCTTTGTGGTTTTATTTTTTCCAAAACCCATAATCTTTTGTTCAATACTATTATTCATAATTGATTTTCAGTTCAATATTCCTGAAGGCATCTGAAATAACTCTTCAATAGAGAATCCAGTTTGTAATATCAACATTCTTCATGGAATTGAAGATAGGAGATTATCATATGTGATAGGAGATTATCATGAAAAATGAGAATCGAAACTTTCTGTGTAATGAAAGTGGTAAAATGTTTCATTTCTCATTTTTCATTATCATTCACAAGATTGATGCACAACATAGTAAATGACAGAGGTAAAATTTCACTTATATGAAACACTGTTATCCTCACTGGTGGACATTCGATGTTTCGGCATAATACACTTGGCTTATTACCTCTTCAGCAGCAATCTGGATAACATTATGGGATGAATCACTCAATTCATTAATCAAATAACGACTTTATGTCACATTTTTTATATAACTTTTCCCAAGAATATACCTCTATTCTCTATTCCTCCCTAAGGGTTACCTACCCTTGTTCTAATTTCTAGGTTCGGAATATTCCAGTCAATTCATGAGTGATTTTTTAACGGTTGATATAAAGCATGATATCACTATTTTTTCAATATAACAATCATAGAAATCTATCAGTAGAAACGACGACACAATACATTTTTTATATCAATTTGATGAAGATTTCTCGTGATGTATTCACCAAATTTTTTTTCATGTTGAGTCTGTGTCACATACAATCTTGGAAATAAATGAATGGGAATAAAAAGTGTGAATTCACGGTGTACAAAACTGTTAAGTTTCTGTCAATGTTTAAGGTGAGCTCAGCGTCAAGTAGAGGACTAAATAAATAAACTATTTTACTACTGCATGATTTGATCATGGAGATCAAATGAAAACATAACAAAATAATTTTTGTTAGTTTTTCATAAAATCTAAGTGAATACCAGCAGCTATATCAGAAAATTACGTCTTCTAATTTTAGCTCAAATTTTATAAAATAAAAATGAGAGACTAAACACATAGATTTGGAGCTGATATATATTTTGGATGCTCCTCTTGTATCACATATACTTTCCCAAATCGCCTGTTATCTTTTGGAAATCATCCAGAAACAAACCAACCTTAGAGATTCACAAACCGATATTCTATCACCTAATAAATTCATCTTGTATCTGGAATAGGTAATTCGCATCCTACATGTGCTTTACCACAAACAGTCAGAAAGTCAGAAATACTTTGAAAAGCGAACTTTTGTAACCTGTTTATTTGATGTTGGATACGAAACAGACGGGATTCTATTTCTGGAGGCACGCGTTTGCTTTACAAATATCAAAACTTCTAGAACACGTATCTAAATTTAAATCAAAGCTTTGCGAAATATTGGAAACTTTAGATCAGTGATGTTCATCAGTATTTTTAGTTGATTTATAACCTTGTCTATTTTGAACTCATTCCCTGAATTCCTCGCACTGTTAGCAATATCGGGAAAATCACTGCTGAGGTTTGTATTTTGTCGTATTCAAAGAAGTATTTGTAAGAAATAACCCCGGAGTTGAAATTAGTATTGATGGTCTTGCTGATGGGTTTTCGATAATTCAATTTCCATAATGGTCAGGAGGAATATCTGATCTATCAGTTCATTGGTTTTTTTCGTGGTTTCAGTGGACACACTTTGTCAAAGGAAATTTTCGGAAATAAATAGCTCTATTCATTGCAATCCATGTTATCAAATAAAAGAAACATTGCTTATCAGTATGCAAATTTCATTGAATTCATTTTTCTTTGTTCGAAATAAATTGAAACTGAAATTTTCTTCGATTTGGAGATCCAAATGAATACTGAATTCTTGTTGATTATACAAAACTTTTTTGAGGGTATTACACTATAAGAACAAAACAACCTATTCCACATATTCGAAACTACAATAATATGCTCGGTACCTCTCAGTCTTATGGATATTCAAATTTATTGTTCTGTTCAGGTATATCTGCTTCCTATGATACCTAGTCTACATATGAGTAAACTAGGAAAAATGCAAAAAATGCATGTGGATCATTCACCTAAAAAAAATGAGATGGTGAATGACGAATCACTAAAGGTTCTGCTTCATAGTGAATTGAGAATCTTTAAAATACTCTATTATTCCAGACCAGGTTGTTTTCTTTTTGTTGATTATCAGAAACTTCTCATGAGTGAAGCTGGAAAGAACTTCCATGCAGTTTCGTTCATTGTTTCTGTTTGAGTTTCAAAGTGCTCATCTGATGAGACATTCTTTCAGAATTTTTCCAGAAAGCAACACCAAAAAAACTGATAAATCCTCATTATACAATATTTGCTGAGTCTTCGTAAGTCCAACTTTAATGTTCTACTTGCACTTGCTTAGAATTACGACTAGTGAAGTTTTTGATGACCGAAATTATGTCTTCGAATATATTGTTCGAATAGGATGTAGTATTGAGCAAGAACTGAATCTGTATCTGTATCACATCAATATTGATGGCTAGGCCAATGAATCAGTGGAGAATTGGTCCTCAACAGTGGACATTTACTATTGGATTTTTGAATCTGTTAGATGTTCTGTAATTCATGTTTTGGATAAACTTCTTGTTTGTCATATATAAGGTTCAGAATAGTTTGGAGACTGTCTGGTAAGTTCAATGGATTTACACTCAAGGTAGTTTTTATAATTTTCTGCCTGGTAGCCATCTGACTCATTCTTTCTCTCTCCTCTCCCAAACTTACCGCAACTTCATGAACTTATTGACATCCATTCAATCAATATTGTTCCTGTCATATCACGTGAGTTTCATTATTTAAATTCAAACAAGTGTGACGAATTCATCTCGAATGAAATATGTAAGGAATAGAAAACTTCGAAATATAATTTACTAGTTGTTGGCCGCGGCGGCTTTGCCCGCGTAGAATTTGGTTTGCCATATTAATTTTCGTTTTCTAAACAAATAGTCACGATATTTTTTCAAAAACCCAAAACTTCAAGTTTCCAACTTCAAAAATACAATCTTTACATCCCTATTTTTCCATCTTGGGGGTGGATATACCTGATTCCCTTACTTGGTGCTTATTCACGCTATACAAATAACCTACCTGCATATTTCAAGATTCTAGGTTCAGTAGCTTCGGCTGTACGTTGATAAAAGAGCGGGCCACAGCTAGTAATTCATATTTTTACTTCGAAAATGCAATCATTAAAAGAATATGCCAACTGCATTAGGTAATGAATAGCTTCGATAATCGAATTATGTTCCCTATAAAGAAATTCGCAAAACTAACACAACCGTCAACGACGTCTCTGTCCTCACGCGTCTGCTTGCGTTCGAGTCACGTTCTCGGTGATGGCGCTTCATTGCTTAGATCGCCCATCTACCTCCGCGTATCGTCCCCCGTCGTCTTACAGTAGACGCGACGCGTAATGGCTTACTGCGTTGCGTCAAGTTAATCTTATTTTGATTCGTCCAAATTACTTGGTGTAAAGGACAAAGTTCATCTATATTAAATACTCAAAACTACAATTGTATCAATTTTTATAAGATTTCGACAGATATTCTAAAATTTACATTGTGAAAAAGTATCCAATTTAATTGTATTTATGGTTCAGTATTTTGCATAGAGTGGCTACCACAATAGAGATAGATGTATGCTGTCAAGGACTCTTGTTTAGAACTATTTAAGATAAATATTACGATACATTATATTTATGTTAGTCCAACGGTATAGGCAGCGCACGCCAATATAGCTCTCAGGGAGCAAGAATTTTTCCGACTTACTCCATACTTATCATTACATCATGACCAAAATTACACAAAACCTTTGTAAATTATAGCCTATATGTTATTCCGATGTATAAGCTGTATTTATGTGAAGTTTCATCTAAATGCGGTCAGTCGTTTAGGCGTGATAGAGTCATAAATATACATACATACATTCATCATCACAAATTTTCACATTTATATTAGTATAGATTTTTTCAAACCATAAGTCAGTTGATCTATTCAACCCATCGTCAGCAAATTTCAAATATTTTGAACGATAATTCACTCATCTTTAATTCATAAAGTTCATTCATTTCTATGAATATATGCCATCCTCAATATTGAGATAGCATTTAGTATGGAGGTGTAACATTTGTAACAAGATTGTGCTGTATAAAACTCTTCAATAACGTATCAGATCATAGTATGAATATTTAAGGAGTGTTATTGATTATGATTCTGTTTTTCAGCTTTCAAGCAGCAATCAAGGCTTACGGTGTAGCTGATATCGATGTCTTCCAAACAGTCGATCTCTGGGAAAAGAAAGACATCGCTCAAGTAACAAACACCCTCTTTGCTCTTGGCAGAGAAACCTACAGACATGCTGAATGGAAAGGACCCTACCTAGGACCCAAACCATCCCAGGAGAACAAGAGAGAATTCTCTGAAGAGACTCTCAAAGCCGGTCAAACCATTATTGGTCTCCAAGCTGGCCAAAACAAAGGTGCCACCCAAGCAGGACAGAACATTGGTGCTAGCCGCAAAATCATCATTGGAAAATGAGCCAACACTTTACTGAAGTTTTTCAATACAATTTTTTATTCAAGTCAATATCTGTATAATGCTTAAAACAAACACCAATAAAATATATTTTATTTATGTTTGGTAGATGTCGTAGTGTGTATTGATGATTCACTTTGAAGATAATATTATGCGAAAACTGGTAGGAAAGGCTTTCATTAAGATGAAATTATGAAAGTCAAAGAGTACTTTGCTGTTCATTCATACTTAGTGAAACAGTTTGACAAAACAAAATTAAGAATTGGATTTTAAAATGAAGTAACAGTACATTATACAAATTCATTGTAAATATAATAACTCACCTGGAACGCTTACTTGGAGAAAGTTTTACACAAATCCAGACTGTCCCTATGGACATGTCGAAGAATTTCTGGTAAAGCTTTGGGTTTGGGTCCCGAACAAATCCATTGGATATAAGTGATGATTGTCAGACCAATGATCACTTATGGTGTAATTGCCTGGTGGTCGAAGGCTCTACAGGCTCTGTGGTGCCATCAATACCACACAGTCAGTGGCCATGGATATCTCTATAGATTTAACTCCTCTCCACGTTTTTCTGGAGAGAGAGGCTAGATGGACTGCATATAGACTTGTGCACATCGCCAATTGCACAAATCAATCGAATGCAGAGTACGCTAGACTGCTGGTATACACTAGAGGTCACAGCGTTCTGGAAATGACCTCTGACATAATGCCTCCGATTGTTAACTACAAACTACCTTATATAGTACTTTTCCCAAGTAGAGAGGATCGGATCCTTCGGGAGAAGGAAATATTGAGAGCAGATAGTTGTTGATTCACAGATAGATCAAAAACACCTTCAGGTTCTGGTGCAGGTGTTTTCAGTTACAGATCCAGGACAGAAATATCAACCTACTTAGGGACCTATGCGATAGTATTTCAAGCAGAAGTATATGCTATTGAATTGTGTGCGGAGAGATTGGTGGAATCCAACCTCACACAGGAGTCAATATTTTTTTTCCAACAGTCAAGCGGCGTTGGAAGCTTTTGGCTTCTACCAAGCAACGTCTAAATTGGGAGCAAATCAACAAAAACAACTCTCCTCAATAGGAAGACTTAACACATTGTCTCTGGTCTGAATTCGAGTCCATACTGGCCTGGAAGCCAATGAGGATGCTGACTCTCTTGCAAAGGAAGATGCTGCAAGCAGTTTTATCGGACGTGAACCTTTCATTGGCATCGCTTTTGGTTTTGCCAAACATATATTGAACACCTGGATGTTAAGAAGATTCATAGACTTCTGGCAAAATCTTCCAGGATTGGCTCACTCCAAGGCGCTCATTCATCCTTACCAAACAATTGTTGGACTACAGTAGGAATTAACTACCATGTCTAACAGGCCTCCAAACAGGTCACTGTCGTCTGAATTGTCATTTGCAGAGACTCATACTGTCGGCGAAAGACAGTGTGTGTCGCATCTGTTTGGAACATGATGAAACAGTGCCTGCCTCGCTGCGGACTGAATCAGATTTTCAGAGTTTGGCGGAATCACACTCTTACTCTCTAACCTGAAAGATCACTTACCTTACAAACTAATCGGATTCGTTAATAAGCTGGGTTTATTTGGTTGCTTGATCGCAAAGGAGGGTCAAATGAACCCACTTATTTTTGACCTAACCTAACCTAGCCCTAACTGGCCGATACTTCATGAAAATCTATTATAAAGTTTCAAAAAAATGACTAATGTGAAATTTCCATTTGACTTGAACTAAGTTTCAAGCTATCAAGAGAAGAAGTCAAGTAGAACCTATGGTTATGCGTGTTACTCACGCACATGGGTGTTGCAGTTATGGGTGAAATTTTTTAAGCTAATACCTCCATCAGCCGACTTTTTGTCCCTGCATACATTGAATTTCAACTGAGAGGATCCAAACAATTCCAAATCTATTTGAAACCCAGAAATTATGCTTAAATTCAAGAAATGGCCCCTCGTACAAATTGTATTTTGTGACTTATATGTAATAATAATGATATATCGTCTTCATTATCTTCAATTACTTTTCATGCCAATCAATCAGGTACAATTAAATTGTCATGTGAAGATTAAAGGCGAAATTCAATTTGCATGATGACGATTTATCATTCAATTGCTCTTCCATTCAATATTGTTTTATTGGATAAAAAAAAAATCAGTTATGAATTTATTGATTGGCCCAATCTAAAATATAACTTTCAACAGGTGTGGGAGGCAGTCAATTTGGGAACATTTCCAAAAATCTTTGGAAACGTGTGTATATGAATATAAAACACACACTTTATGGTCGACTTCAAGAGGTCGGACAGATGTGTGGAAATATTGAAATATTCTGAGATTAATATTGTTTGTTGTAAAGGGATTCTTACACTTTCTTGGCTCTTGATATATTTTGTAACAGAGTTGTGTTGCGTACCAACTGATTAGGTACTATGTTTATTTCGAATTCAATTCACAAACATTCGATTTTCAAAAGGAGGGAAATATGACACCTGGATGGAATCAGTTCGAAATAATTTTTTTTCAGAAATATTTTCCTCAGCTGTCGTTCGTAGGGGGACGACAGCTGGTTAAGGGAAAAACAGATTTTGAACAGAATCATGAGTTTCAAGTCGATCCCATAGCTATTCTCCTTAGGTTATAATGAGTTCAAAGTCTGCATTTCATATTCCTAATGAGATCTACAGCAGGTCAAAAAAACATTTTCTGATGATGGAATTTAAATACCACACTTTTGAGCTTTGGTATCAGTTTGAAAATTATTTGCAAAGTTTTCGAGTCAATAATGGAATATTCGAATATCCAACCTCAAAATAAAAAAAAATGGATAATGAAAATTGCATAGTATCAATGAATCATGAGGAAAATAATGGTCTTCTATTTTTTTTATTGAAATTAATGATTTATGGTAAATGATATATGGTGCCCCATCCTAAAGTGTTCCATTTTTAAAACTCACTTTTACATTTCATTGTGATATTCACTATGAAAGTTATTGTATAGCTAAATACGTGTCACGATTTTGTGAACCTTTTGTGTTGAAAATAATAAACTGTATCAGTAAGTTTTGATATAGATTTTCATCAAGTATCGTTTCAATCATTTTCAATTTTCGATTGGACAAAACGTTTTTAAATGACCTTCTTCGAGAGGAGACGCAAGAAATTCAAAACATCTGTGTAGGAATGACTTGAAAAACTGAAAGATCTCGCCAACAGAAACAAATTCTACTGGGTACCAGATAAGGGCCATCAGCTCCATATAGGGCCCTATATCAGGTTTGGGGATACTCATCAGAAAATGGGTTAGTTATGACGAAAAATGTTCCGATTGGAACATTTTCAACCCCCACCCTTCGAGTATGAAAAATTTCCACATTTCTCACAAAATTGAAAATAAACCGTGCAAGTCGGCTGAAATTCTTTCAGGTCGGGTTTCCCAGCTATGAATCTCGACAAAAATGCACAAAAAAAATTTCACATTTACCAAAAATTTTAAAATATACCTTGCAGGTCGACAGAAATTCTTACAGGTCGGGTCTCCCAGATATGAATCAAGTCCAGATTGAACATGAACATGAAAAAAATTCCAATCCCCACCCTTCACGTGTGACATAATGTCCATTTCTCATAAAATTGAAAATAAACATTGCAGGTCGGGTCATCCAGATATGAATCTTGAGCAGAACAATCATTTCCGCCGGAAAAATTTTTCAATTTCAATTTCACCAAAAAATCATTAATTTGCGAGTGAGTGCCCCCTCTATGAATGAGCTTCCTAAGTTCCACTGAACGACTGCGTAGTCTTCTATACGAGTATTAAGCATATACCCATAGTTATTGATCCATTCTTAACGGTAGAAGGGATAGTCTATATACAAAGGAAGTTTTTGGGGCATCAGAATATTAACCATTGGTTGGGGAGAATACTGTGGAGAATACTGATTTCCCATTCTGTTTACAGAAACCTACTACAGAATATTCAAATTGTAAATTTTACTACTTTTAAAATGTTTCGAAATAGTAAAACCTCCACTATTTGATATCGGTTTACGAAGAAACATGATTCATACACAAACTGATAGAAAAGTCCTCCCGAAACAGCTACTTTCATATAAACATTGAATTAGACGAAAGAAAAATAACATTATCAATGTATCTGAACTCTATTTCCTGTGATATGGATTTGAATGTTATCCTTTTGCGTGATTGTGGTCATGCTAAAATATCTTTTCCCAAAAATCAACCTCTCTTCAAAATATACCCTCTTTCAATTTAAACAAGATTCTTATGGCTGGGAATTAATCAAATGAGCGACTAAATATCATTACATACTGTCATTGTTGACATGAGTAAATTAAACTCATTCGTGACATAAAAAGTCGTAATTTTATGAATGAATTGAGTGCTTTATCTTGTAATGTTATCTAGATTGTTGATGAAAAAGCACTAAGACAAATATCTCATTAAATTGATGCATGTAGCCGTTACTTCGTGGTAGGAAATAATAATAAAAAAAAGAAAAATGAAACTTTCTATGTTTTTTACCACTTCTATTTCTAACTAACGTTACTACAGTTTCGTCCTATACGGACATTTTTAAACAGTAACGTTAGTTACAAAAAAATATAGAAAGTTTCATTTCTTTTTTCTTCATTAAATATCTAATTCTGAAACATCGGATGTCCACCAATGAGGATGACAGTGCTCCATGTAAGTGGAGTCCACGTAGCCCCGCTGGATACGGAAATGACAGACTCACTTGTGGTTCTGTTATTTCCTAACTGAATGGCATCCCAACGATGGCTCAATCCTGAGATGTGTTTCCGTATCTGGAGGATGAATGACACTGAGCCTATCAGCTATCACTACGGAACCTTCGAGATACCCGGCGCCCTCTCGTCGTAGCATCGCCTTGTCACGGCGTGACTCTGCTTTGCCGTGATTGACCTTCTTTCTACTACTCGTGGGTCTTTTAAGGACAGAGTAAACTTAAAAAATGTTTCTGACGCTGAGTGTATAGAGGAGATGGATGTCGAGTTTACGACTCCAACTGACCTCCCTGTAAATTTAGTTCAGGAGCG